AGTTTGTACAACTTAAAGTTACATTTCTGGGTCATGTGATCACAGTTGAGGGCAATCCCTCTCGCCCAAAGTAGTTGAAGCTATCCAGCAGCTTCCAAATCCACTAACAAAAGCAAATGATGTCCCTTCTGGGCAAGTGCTCCTACTGTAGTAATTTCCTCCAGCATTATGTCGTATTGGAGGCCCCACTCAGTGCACTGATTCATAGAAAAGGCCTTCAATCTTATGATAAAGTGACATGGACTCTAGATGCTGAAAAAGCTTCCACTGACTTGAAGTTAGCTTTGCAGACCACACCGACACTGGGACTACCTGACTTGACTAGACCTTTCACACAGACTGTGGATGAGAAAAATGCATGTATGACATCTGTTCTCTTGTAGGAACAGGGTGGACAACAACGCCTTGTTGCCTATTTCTTTGCTAAACTGGCTGAAGGAAAATCTGTTACCATTTAAAATAGTGTAAAACCCTGTCCAGCGTTCTTCCTCAGATTTTCAACAGGTGAAAGCAGTTCTCCCGGCTCCAGCCTCTGAACCTCTACATGATCTGCAGCCAACAACTGGGTCGTGATAAAGGAGCTTCAGCGGACACACTGGAAGTCCAAGCACTGGCAGAAACCATTTCAAGTCCTGATGACAATGCACACAGCAGTTAAGGTAGCAGAAAGAGCAACCTGGATTCACGTCAGCCACTGTAGTAAGGTGCCAGAGCCACCAGAGATGACAGCTGAGTACCCCAACCCAGCACAGTCACTCACTCACACACACACCTTGATTAAGTGAGGCTGTGTTGAAATAACACAGCAGTGAAGTGTGAGCCAAGCACCACTTCCTGCTGCTCCGATGAAATACACAGAACACACCACGCACGTACCAGAGAGTACACATCGAGCTTAGCTGACATTGGACCAGCGATGGAACACTCTTACGTCAGGACCAAGCTGTTGCCCTGGACAAAACTCACGTTTTTCTTTTTTGGTGTTATTGTTAATGTTTAGTATCTTGGGACTTTAGTCAAAGACCAGCCTACACGTTATATCCTGAGTTTATTCATAGTAAACACATGAATGCTAATATGTGGTGGAGATTTGCTAACCACATTGTTGCAGCTATGAAATTGAGTAATTGTTATGTGTGCATGCACATGCCTGTGTCCGGCCATTCACCTCTGCTCTCACCGGCTCCACTTGATTATAGATTCCCTATGTTTGTGAATGCCACAACAGATGGTTTTATAGCTGTGAGGAAGGAACTAACAGGCCTCAGATACACCTGGCTTGATGAATACGTGTCTGCTCATCCTGGCTTGGTCTTTGTGCAACCAATTAAGCCTGGACTCACGTGTTTTGGATTCATTGAGCTCAGCTCAGCCATTTATCCTGGATGTCTTAATCCTACTTTTGTGCAACAGGCCCCTGGTTTCAAGAGCACGTAAAAACAGTTTTCATGAGAGTATAGCTCCAGCTCGTCAGTTCTCACTCCAGGTCCATAATCGTTGTTCTTTTCTTTAATCTGAGATTTCAGATCCTGTAACTCTTCTTTGTTTGTGCTTCATGATTGTTTGTATCACAAAAACTGTATGTTTGGTTTTTCTTCTGGGTTATGATTTATCTTAAACCTTTTCAGTGTGATAAGTTTGATATGTTCCTAAGAAGACTTTTGTATGGACTGTTGTGATTAATGTTTAATCAAGAGGAGGGAGTGTGGTGGCAATTTTTATGATAGTACCCTTTTAGTGGTTATTTACCTTGTAATCCACTACTAGATGTATATCACATGATCGTAAACCTTTGCATGCCCTTGTGAGAGAGAAAAACCAGATGTGACCTGAGACCTGAGAGCTGGTATCCCATAGTAAATAACCTCCTGTTTGACTTATCTGTTTGAGCATCTGTTTTCTGTTATTGTATGCTGAGTATAAAAAGGGCAGTCACATTCCGTTCATTGAGCTTCCCTGTAACAGACTGGTTTAGACACTCTGTTCAGAGAAACCTCCTTCCTGCAGGAATAAATATGTAATAACTTTCAGAATTGATGTTAAGTATTTATTTTACTCTCACTGAGCTTTGAAAGATATTTTTTCCACAACATAACTCTTCCACTGCTCTGATGAGTTTTGTTTGCTGGTTTACCATTTTACATATTTCCTCTGACATGAAGTTTAAGGGCTTTTTAATATCCTCTAGTTCTTCCTCATATTGCCCTGTCTGATTTTTCTTTGGTGGCAGTATGATCCATAGTATACAGTGGTGTGAAAAAGTGTTTGCCCCCTTACTGATTTCTTATCTTTTTGCATGTTTGTCACACTGTAATGTTTCAGATCGTCAAACAAATTTATATATTAGTCAAAGATAACACAAGTAAACACATCATGCAGTTTTTAAATGAAGGTTTTTATTATTAAGGGAAAACAAAATCCAAAACTATAGAGCCCTGTGTGAACAAGTGTTTGCCCCCCTGTCAAAACACTGGTTTATCGCACCTGAGTTCAATTTCTCTTTTTCGGGCATGAACTGCCTTTTTAAGGTCATGCCACAGCATCTCAATTGGATTCAGGTCAGGACTTTGACTAGGCCACTCCAAAGTCTTCATTTTGTTTTTCTTCAGCCATTCAGAAGTGGACTTGCTGGTGTGCTTTGGATCATTGTCCTGCTGCAGAACCCAAGTTCGCTTCAGCTTGAGGTCACAAACGGATGGCCGGACATTCTCCTTCAGGATATTTTGGTACACAGCAGAATTCATGGTTCCACTTATCACAGCATGTCTTCCAGGGCCTGAAGCAGCAAAACAGCCCCAGACCATCCCACTACCACCACCATATTTTACTGTTGGTATGATGTTCTTTTTCTGAAATGCGGTGTTACTTTTACGCCACACATAATGGGACACACACCTTCCAAAAAGTTCAACTTTTGTCTCGTCTGTCCACAGAGTATTATCCCAAAAGTCTTGGGGATCATCAAGATGTTTTCTGGCAAAACTGAGACGAGCCTTTATGTTCTTTTTGCTCAGCAGTGGTTTTCGTCTTGGAACTCTGCCATGCAAACCATTTTTGCCCAGTCTCTTTCTTATGGTGGAGTCATGAACACTCAGCTTAACTGAGGCAAGTGAGGCCTGCAGTTCTTTGGATGTTGTTGTGGGGTCTTTTGTGACCTCTTGGATGAGTTGTCGCTGCGCTCTTGGGGTAATTTTGGTCGGCTGGCCACTCCTGGGAAGGTTCTCCACTGTTCCATGTTTTCGCCATTTGTGGATAATGGCTCTCACTGTGGTTCGCTGCAGTCCCCAAGCTTTAGAAATGGCTTTATAACCTTTTCCGGACTGATAGAGCTCCATTATTCTCTTTCTCATTTGTTTTTGAATTTCTTTGGATCTCGGCATGATGTCTAGCTTTTGAGGATCTTTTGGTCTACTTCACTTTGTCAGGCAGGTCCTATTTAAGTGATTTCTTGATTGCGAACAGGTGTGGCAAGAGAAATTGAACTCAGGTGCGATAAACCAGTGTTTTGACAGGGGGGCAAACACTTGTTCACACAGGGCTCTATAGTTTTGGATTTTGTTTTCCCTTAATAATAAAAACCTTCATTTAAAAACTGCATGATGTGTTTACTTGTGTTATCTTTGACTAATATATAAATTTGTTTGACGATCTGAAACATTACAGTGTGACAAACATGCAAAAAGATAAGAAATCAGTAAGGGGGAAAACACTTTTTCACACCACTGTATATACTAAAGTATTACAAATGTTTGAAGAGAGATGTGCTTCTTGCTGTGTGAAGTCAGCCTCCCGGACATCTTCAACAGCTCAACAGTAAAATTTGATTATTCAACTATACAATTTAACTGTCTGTTTGTTGTGTCCTGTTGCTTTTCTTCTTTTCTCTCTCCTCTGTCAAATCACCCCAACCGGTCAAGGCTGTCGGGGTCTGTCAGAGGTTTCTTCTGGTAAAGGGAGTTTTTCCTCCCTGCTGTCGCCAAGTGCTGCTCAGAGGGGATTTGTTGGTTTTTCCCCTCGGTAATACTGTGAGGTTTAGACCAGGTCAAAAATGTCATAATTTGAAGGGAAAGACCAATTTCATACATTTTCAGAAGGCACAAAGGCCACTTGATTGGGCGCTACTGCAAAGACAAATGATATGGTATGTGTACTTAGCTTATGTATACAGCCTAAGAGGCAAAGTTACAAGCTAGAGTTTGGTGTTCACAACATGCATGTTATGTTTAAATTAAAATACAGATGCTTGTAGAACTGTTAATGGGAAATATAGTCTAATAACTGTGCATCTTTATTATAATTTGGATAGTAAATGGTGTTATCTGTGCACTTATACACTCAAAGGCAAACTAAGCTCTTGTTACTCTGGTGACGTGGCCTAAGATCAAGGGTCGAAAGAATCATGGATGCATTAAAGAGAAAAGGCAGGAAAGGACCTCTAATTTCTCTTACTTTATTTAACTGGTGCAACAATTATATTCTTCTGGCATCATGATAGAATGGCCAGCATCACTTCTAGCACTGTTAAACTACAAATAAATGCCTACCGGATGCCTATTAAGGCTTTCATTTGGTTGTCAATATTGACAGTATTGGTGCTTATTTAGCACGTGCAGTATTTCAACACTACATGTAACGTTTTCCAGACAGAGCAAAATATCACATCCTTCAATCTGCTTATCCAGTAGAACTAAAGGAAGATTGTAGCACCGCGAGCTTGACTGATGCCACTCTGAACTAAAAACAGCAAACAATCAATCAATGTTAAGTTTTGGTTTTCTTAGTCTGGTTCAAACAGCTTGTACTTGTTGTTTTCCAGTCAGGAGATCACAGTGTTGTTTATGGTGATGTGTCTTATGTTTTTGTGAAGCACTTTTGCCAACTTTTTGTTGATTTTAACTGTGCTATACAAATAAACCTAACTACACCCAAAACTAACCACTGTACCTGTGCCCCATCATCTGTCAGTGTGAACACATCTCTTGAGTGTGTGCTGGTCTCACCAGTCCCCACCAGAGGGCGTCGGCATATGTCTCAAACCACACATTGTCTTCTTTTTCTGCCAAATAAACTAGGAAACTGGCCAGAATGAGACACAAGAAGCCGATATACCAGGCTGTGATCAACTCCTGCGGAGAGAAAGACAGATTGGGTTACACCGAGAGAGAGACACCTTTATCCACAGACAGGTAAAACACCCATTGTTCTTCACACATTAATAACTGCACTATCCAGAATGCTGAGCTTCTGACTGAGTCTGGATTTTCAGCTTCAGTGAAGCTGCTTCTAAATTAATCTCAGGCTGATGTAGAGCAATAGGTAACAAGCAACGTGAACTGATTATCAGATACAAATGGCTCGAGATGCAATGAAAGGAAATTATTTTAATTTTAGATGAGAACAGGGAGGTTGTTGAAAATCATTTATGTAATTTTCACAGCTCAATGCCTAAAAATCCACATTTTGAGAGTGTGAGCAAAAGCAAACTTTGCTGAGACATTCTGGCTGTTCAAAGACCACAGGAAACAGAACATACGGGATTAAGTCTGACACCTGAGTTCCACAAGGTTCTGTGCTAGGTCCAGTTCTCTTCACTTAATACATGCGTCCCTTTGGCAACATTAGTACAAATGCTGCTTCCTTCAACAGCCTTTGCCTGGTTATTGGAGCACTTATCAGTAGTAGTCTGCAG